TGAAGATGATTTTTATCAGCTGTATATCGAGCAGCTGATAACACCTTATTTAGCCAATTAGTTCATTAGATACAGATTTATTTGGTTATTTAGCTTTCCTCTCTGTTCCCCTGGCATTTCTTAAAACCTGTTATTGTTATACTACCGGACTAGCTATGTAGCTGAAAGTCTAAGATAAATTGAGGAATGATCTTAAATAAAATCTCTCATTTTTTAAGAAATTTGGATTAAGATGTTTGCAAGGTGCCTGCTGAAACTTCTGAGGCATGTGGAAAAGCTAACCAATTATTCATGATGATACTCAGATCTGTTGGTATGCAACTTATGGTACTAGGTTTACTCTTCCTCTCAATTTATCCTCACGGCCTCTTCCACTTCCAGGTGTTTACAATATGTAATTATTCGCTGCATGTTAATTTGAGGGGTGAGAAAGTCACAACTGGCATAGAAGTTCCAGAGAGCAGAAAACCATTAGGTTTCTCAGTCCTCCCAGGTGGCTGGGTACAGAATATGTACTTGGGGTACTGGAATTTTATTTGCAATGTTCTTAAAAGAGGACATTGCTTTTAACCTTGACTTAATTTTAAATATAACAACTTGATGTCCTTACTGTGGTCTGCACACTCATCTATACATACTTTGATTGAAAGGTTTTCGGATGTTTGCAGATGCTGTAAAATAAATGAATGTTTTTTATTATTATTATTCACCCAAATGGTCAGAATTCGCTACAATATTTCTGTCCTTACCTGTAATTCTGTTCTTGCCTTGGAGCTGAGACCAGGCTAGGCATTATGGTTTTCAAAAATGAGGCAAAGGAGCACCATGAAAAGCTGAAATGAGGGGATATCCAGCGCCACCCCGAAGAAGACTATGCTGGAAGAAAGTCAACCCACATAGTACAAGATACAAAGCCAGTTTGTCAGTACCTATATGAGAAAACTAAGGTATGTCTGCAAAATACAAGTTGACTGCCTGCCGAGCCTCCGTGGGCCATAAGCAGTGTTATAAAACACACCCAACTGCTGAATGAGAGCTTAGTCCTCGATTAAATATGGCCAGCAATTCCATTAACAACACTGACAGACGCCTCATGGCAAGCTGTACAGGACAACAGCATCGTCAAGCAGAATGCACTTCAGGGAAAACACAGTAAGGCCTCTCACCCGACGTTCCTTGCTTCTCACGTGGGGAGAGGAAAGAACTGGGGCATCGTGATACCCCCCAGCCCACGCAAACCATCTGGGGAGGACGCTGGCTGCTGTCGAGGCGGCCTCAGCATTCATCAGTTGACGATTATTTGATTATTTTTTGTGGCTGAATTTGAGGAAACGTTTGTATTATCTCTTGGGAACGTTTACAGCCTGCCAGTGGACTCTAAAACAGAGGTTACCAAGAGAAGCCTTAGATGTGTGTCCCTGATTGTGGTGCTGGGGTCGCTGATGGCTTGAAAATAACAGAGCCCCCTTTGAGTTACTGGCCAAGGCTAAATAAAACCTCGTGCTCCTTTGCTGTGGGGCGGTCCGGTCTCCGGGCTCAGAGGCGCTCTGTCCACAACGGGGAGAACTCGCAGGCCCCAAGCTCCTGGCCAGCGCGGGCCCCGAGGTCGGCAGGCCCCTTGCTCGTCACCTCGTTGTTCCCTCACCCGCCTCCCGCATTCGGCCGCTTCCTGACTGGGATTCCACAGAAAGGCCGAGGGCTGAGGAGAAGTGTGAGCGCCTCCGCCTGTCCACTGTCCCCCAAAGTCAGTTCAATCCCCGACGTCCTCCGCTAGGCTCCACCCCACCGGCCCCGGCGGGGCCTCCAAGGCACCGCCCACCTACGGGTCACCCAGTCAGGCCACTTCTTTCTGGGACAAAGGCATCATCCCTTAGAGACAGCAGGAAAATGGTATCTCCCGGAAGTTACCTCACGACCTCCAAGCGCCGCTTCCAATCTTGCCGGAAGTGACGAAAGAGTCAACGGGCTCGGTGACTGCGGAGGGCGAGCTAGCACCTGTGCGTGAGTGGGAGGCTGGTTGTGCAGTGTTGGTGGACCCTGGGAGGCCACGGGCGCCCCGCTGGGCTAGGGTAGGATAAGGAGTCCAGGGGCAGGAGTCTGGGGTTGGGGACGGACCGCCGCGGGGACTGCGGCGCTTTGCGAAAGCGAGCCGAGCGCCTGTCCGCTCTCGGTCCTGCAGGGCCGTTGCCACGATGGGCCGCGAGTTTGGGAATCTGACGCGGATTCGGCATGTGATCAGCTACAGCTTGTCACCTTTGGAGCAGCGCGCCTTGCCGCACGTTTTAAGTAAAGGAGTCCCCAACATGCTGCGCCGCGTTCGGGAGTCTTTCTTTCGCGTGGTGCCGCGTGAGTGCCCTGGGCCTGTGGGAGCGGGAGGCTGAACCCCAGCAGCAGCAGCAGTCCCTGCGTCTCCCCTCTGAGCGCTGGCGGCCTGGCAGGCGCTCTGTAACTTGCCGTACACACCTTTCTCGTTGAATATTCCTAACCGCCCTTGAGCTGGTCATATTATCCTCCCCATCTTACACGGGGAAAACTGAGTTACAGAACTGAAATGACTGGCCCAAGGTCACTCGGGTGATTCCAGCGTGTTGCTCTGAGGTCATCTTTATCGAGTTCTTACCAGTGGTGAAATGCTTTGAATTAAACGTGCAGCAGATAGTGATGATAGTTGCACGGCCTTGGATATGCTAAGAACTACTTAAGTGTATACTTTAAAGAATACAACAGGACTGAGACCTTTTTTTTCTTCTATATGTCTTATATATGTGCTCTGTTTACTCTCTTAATTTTTAAAGAGTTTGTAGTGTTTTATCTTCTCTACACATGGGGGACTGAAGAGTTCGAGAAATCCAAGAGGAAGAATCCAGCTGCCTATGAAAATGACAAATGAGCAACGCATCCGGATGACGGTTCCCTGTCTCTGAAAGACCTTTTTCTGGAAGAGGAGTCTGCATTGTAGTGTCTCAAAGACACAATAAACTTCCTATGGTCTGCACTGTTGTGATTTTACATTTTTGTGAGTAGAATCCTGTGTGACCACTAAATATTCAAGTTAATGAAGCGCCCCTCCTCAGCATGAGTCTTTTAAGTTTTGCCTGGTCTTGGGTTTTGGTGAAAGAGCAGAGCTCGCCCTTTGTTCCATAATCTACAAGAAAGTAGCTGCAGCTACTCCTGCAGCTAACCATTTGTGGGTGACATGGGCTATGGGGAGTGCTGGTTCTTGGCCCTCTGCTCCCATAACAACAATAAAGTCTAGTAACTATATGGTAATTAGTATGTGTCAGGTACACTTTTATTTTTTATTTTTTGAGATGGAGTCTTGCTGTGTCACCCAGGCTGGAGTGCAGTGGTGTGATGTCGGCTCACTGCCATCTGCCCCCTGGGTTCAAACGATTCTCCTGCCCCACCCTCAGAGTAGCTGGGATTACAGGTGCAAGACACCACACCCGGCTAATTTTTTGTATTTTTTGTAGAGACAGGGTTTCACCATATTGGCCAGGCTGGTCTAGAACTCCTGACCCCAGGTGATCTGCCCACCTCCGCCTCCCAAAGTGCTGGGATTACAGGCATGAGCCATGGCACTCCAGGCCTCAAATACTCTTCTTAGCTACACAAATGAACTGTTAAACCTCACAAGCACCTTTAATGTATCCTCATCTGGCAGATGAGGAAACAGGCACAGAGAGATTAAGTAATTTGCCAGAAATTATACAGCAGTGAATGGTGGAGTCTTGCACTCAAGTGATGCTCTTAAAGCTATGCTGTACTGCAGGGGTGTCCAATCTTTTGGCTTCCCTGGGCCACATGCAAAATACACTAACACTACAATAGCTGATAAACTTAAAAAATTTGCAAAAAAACCCTCAACGTTTAAAGAAAGTTTACAAATTTTTGTTGGGTGGGATTCAAAGCCATCCTGGGCTGCTTGCTGCCAGGACTGCGGTTGGACAAGCTTGCTCTACTGCCTTTCCTCCTAAGGCGGGCCTTAGCCTGAAGGGATATCAGCTATAAAACGGATGAGGTGATCTCTTGGCCTCCACAGCAGTTTTCTGTTTCTGTGCCAGGAAGCCAACAATGTTTTCAACCATATGTGGTTCATAAAGCCTCAAATATATACTCTGGCCCTTTATGAAAAAAGGTTTACCCCTGATCTAAAGCCTTTAAATTATCTTTTTGGTATTAAAGGTACCATTTTCCCTTCGCCCACCGGCAGATGGTGGGGGTAGGTGTGGTTGGCAGTTTTATGCTTCTACTTTCTTAGAGAGGCTTCTCTCTAAGCTTCAGGGCATGGATCTCACTTGTGGTAGCGGGTATGTGGAATATGATGAGTTGTCATAGCTCAGTCAGTACCATACATGACATGGGATCTGAGATCTGAGATCTGTTTTTAGAAACTCTTCCTGCTAGCAGCAACTTTGATTCTGACTCAGACTGGTTTTTTTTTTTTTTTTTGAGATGGAGTCTTGCTCTGTCGCCAGGCTGGAGTGCAGTGGTGCGATCTCAGCTCACTGCAACCTCCGCCTCCCGGGCTCAAGTGATTGTCCTGCCTTAGCCTCCCAAGTAGCTGGCACTACAGGCGTACACCAACATGCCCAGCTAATTTTTGTATTTTTTTTTTTTTTTTAGTAGAGATGACATTTCACCATGTTGGCCAGGATGGTCTTGATCTCTTGACCTCGTGATCCACCTGCCTCGGCCTCCCAAAGTGTTGGGATTACAGGCGTGAGCCACCGTGCCCGGCCAGACTGTATCTTTATTATCCTAAATACTGCTATTGCCTGTTAAGAATCAAAAGTTAAGATACTTCAAAACATGGCTGGATGCGGTGGCTCATGCCTATAATCCCAGCACTTTGGGAGGCTGAAGTGGGTGGATCACTTGTCAGGAGTTTGAAACCAGCCTGGCCAACATGGTGAAACCCCGTCTCTACTAAAAATATAAAAATTAACTCAGCATGGTGGCACACACCTATAATCCCAGCTACTCAGGAGGCTGAGGCAGAATCACTTGAATCTGGGAGGTGGAGGTTGCGGTGAGCAGATTGTGCCACTGCACTCCAGCCTGGGTGACAGAGCGAGACTTCAAAACAAAACCTAAAAGATGAACTACATTGTGAGGCAGGATATGGGGAGAAGGCTGAGTCTTAAAATCTTGGGCTTGTCCTCTTAGCCCGTCACTTCCTCATTATGTGATACAGGGAAGAAACCTACCTTCATGAGCCTTAAGCTTCGCACCCGTAACATGGAAATATTATAAAGTTCTTGGGCTGTGATGATGGTGAAATGAGTGACAAGTGTCTGTCAAGATGGTATGGGCTTAACAGGGCAACTGAGGAACTCTTCTACCCCACCCCCAAAAGACAGGCCAGTTTTCCCATTTTTCTCTGTCCAGATTTATTCCCAGGTCTTGCAACGTATTTGGGTCATAGACTTCTTTGAGAATGATGAAAGCTGTGGACCTATCCTTACAGTGCATAGCTTCAAAAAGTTCACAGCCCAGGGGAGGACCACTGCTTTGAGAGGCTGTTAATGTCTTTCTGCCTCTGGTGTTTGCCCCAAGCTGCCGGGTAGATGGCCACCCTCTCCCATCTTGCTCGCCTTGTTCTACACTTAGACTATTTCTCCCTGGTTCTTTGACTTCTTTGGAGAGACCAGCTCAAAAGATCGAAACCCATTTTCTCAGCCCAAACCAGGCATTGAGCCTATTCTTTTTATTCCAGGAGTGCTCTACTGAGATGACTGTGCCGTAAGCCCTGTGATGTGCAGAGTTTCTGCTTTGGATGAAATTAGTCTGCTTTAAGCCTGTGTCTCGTCAAAGGGCTTCCCTCTCTAAGCTTGGAGGAATGGATCTCACCTGTGTGGCAGGAGTGCTGAGGTGGTGGGTGTGTGGAATGTGGTGAGTTTTAGTCGCTCAGTGCTCCTATACATGATCTGGGATCATTTTAGGGGACATTCTATTTGCGTAAGTCCTCAGAGGAGGACCTGAGTAAAGCCTTTTAATGATGGACAACTGCTGTGGGCTTCAGTGCTGGTAACCCATCTGGAGCCTCCAATCCTGGGTATGGATCCCTTACCTGCTACTCTGGCACAACCACTTGCTCCATTTAACCTTTCTTTCTCCAAATGCTCCTGCCCCCACAAGCGTTTTTAATCTATGGGCTGCAGAGTCTGGTGAAAGGAATGCCCTCGCTCTTTTAGTTTGCAAACATTCCTCAAAATGCAGGCCTAGGGTAGGCCCAAAAGTCTATGCCAGTTCCAGCTAGCAAAAAAGCAAATACACTTTGACCTTTTGTTGAAATTTTACCTGGTAAAGTTTTTCCATTTCAGAGTCTTTCATCTTTTATTAGGCACCTTCTGCTTAGGGACAGCAAAAAGTTTCCAATTACTGCCAACTCCCAGTGATCAACCTGGAATGTGTTTCAAACAGCTGCTCATGTAGTTATACCCTCTGTCTCCCATTTCATCCTAAGCATTTGTCTCAGAAGCATAAACTCTCTGAGAGTTGTATCCAGAGTTACCAAGCTCTCGGCTATCAAATCTGCTTCAGTCTCATTTTCTTCTTGTAAATTAATCATTTGAACCCCCAAAGTGACAGAATAGGAGACTAAAGCCCAAAGAGGAGAAGGGCTGGCCTGTGGGCAGTTGCACTCTGTAGACCCCAGGCTACTGCTTACCAGTCAAGCATTCTATCTTCTTATAGCTGAAACTGTTAAAGGCTACTTAGGCCTTTCTATTGGATAAGGAGCATGTAGTTCACTGAGCAAAATACTTGATTGTAGAGTCCGTGAATTTTTTTTTTTTTAATTTCAAGAAGAGGCCTTCCCAGTCTCTCAAGTATGGGATATCTGTGGACAAATGCTGTCAATTCAGCTAAGTGCTGCCTGGATGTTGCTTTGAGTTTGATTTTTGTGCCATACTTAGCTAAAACAACTAGAGTTCACGTAGACATATGTTAAAATACTTTCCCCTTTCCCAACAGTGGTTCCTTCAACAGTGACTAATGCATTTTTTCTTTTGGGGAGAGGGTGGCATAAAACATAGAAGCTTGAACCAAAGTCCTCTGAGTGTTGTCACACTCATGAAGATGAATGGTCCTTTCACCCTACACACAGAGGGGCAAGGGCTTCAAGCTTTCTTTCCCTGACTGTGTTATCGGCTTTACAAATTAACACAACAGGCTAGTTTGATCCTGCTAGAAGTACAGGAAGGCAGAAATGGAGAAGTGGAGAAGTATTCATCTTTTGGATGAACAGTTTCCAAATCCCATTTGGCACGTCACTCTAGACTGGTAAAGGGGAGGCTGGCACTGAGGCCACAGACCCAACTGGCTGTAGGACATCACGTTGTTCAGTCCTTTGCTTATCTAATCACATTTGTGTTCTTACCCAATGCTCACTAGGTCACCACATAGCCACTTCCCCTCCCAACAAAAGTTCCCAGTTAGGCCCCATCTGGGATCATCCAGTATCCAAGCTCAGGGGTGAAGGGAGGGAGCAGGTAACTAGTCTCAACTGGTTAGTTGGTATATAGGTCTCTTCTCAATGTTCCTAAAGTGCATGCAGTGGCATCCCCCTCAAGGCCTGGCTCCATGATTCTGAGAGGACTAGAACCAGGACAGTCAGATCTGTGGTCACATCCTGCCCAATTCCAGTTCTGAGGTCCATCAAACCATCTGCTTCTCCCTTGGCAAGAAGCCGGTCAGTGGCCATCCTTTTCTACCTTCAGCTGTTGTGCATCTCCTCTTTTTCCTGGGGTAAAGGATCAAGCAGGTTCTTATCCAAATACGTAACGTGTGAAGATGAGACGGCCCTTGGGAAGAGGTATTAGTCACGTTTTCAGTGTGATGCCTGGCAGAAAGAATTTGTTGTATTTGTCTTAAGCTTATCCTCCCAGGTCATAGGAAGATCTAAAGTTCAATGAATCTCCTTACTCTGAATTCACACCTTTCCCCTCAAACTTAAAATTCCCATGTCATTTCACTAATACCCATAACTACTCATGGTTTAGATACATGTCCTCCCTGGGTCTAGAAATCTGCAGCAGTGGGCTGGGTGCGGTGGCTCACGCCTGTAATCCCAGCACTTTGGGAGGCTGAGGCAGGCGGATCATGAGGTCAGGAGATCAGGGCCATCCTGGCTAACACGGTGAAAGCCCGTCTCTACTAAAAATACAAAAAATCAGCCAGGCGTCACGGCGGGCGCCAGTAGTCCCAGCTACTCGGGAGGCTGAGGCAGGAGAATGGGGTGAATCCTGGAGGCAGAGCTTGCAGTGAGCCCAGATCGCATCACTGCACTCTAGCCTGGGCGACAGTGCAAGAGTCCATCTAAAAAAAAAAAAAAAAAAAAAAAGAAGAAATCTGCAGCAGTTCCTACTTAAACTGATGGATGCTTTGGGCTTTGGAGATATCTCATCCCTATGCCTCCTGCCCTGAATCTGCCGGAAGGAAAGGCCCCACTCAACTACTGGGAAGAAAGGCCATAATTCAAGGCGCTTAATACAGTCACTACACAAGCTCTCCCTCTGATTTAGGAGATCTTGTTACCTCCTCATCTGCATGTGCTTAAAGACAAAAAGAAACCTATAATTATTCATCACCTGTGGTCCAAGTAAGTCTCACATCCAGCCATTCCCCTGAGAGGGCAGGAGGCCAGACTTCTAACTTTCCACAGCTGGGGTCTTCATTTTACTAGTGAGATGAACTGGTGCAGATTAGGGTGATAGTCCATCTAAGCAAGTGGAGGATCTGGGGAACTGTAGACCTTGCTGAAGCATCCTTCCACAGAAAGGGGATAAGGGCCTTATCCAATTGCCTGTACACAATAGATCAGTGCTTCTTTCCTAGACAAGGCCCAACGGGGTCAACATTATTTCTGAAGACTTCATTATTGGAATTCTATGGGAGTGATCTCACTGAGCTATTTTGGAATAGCAATGTGGCTAGTTGCTTGACCTCCCTCAATGGTTTCACGTGGCTTTTGAAGGGAAGGACGGGCAGTGCTGACTTTTGGTAAAATGGGCAAAAGGGTCCATGCCAGCAACACAATCACTCAAAGTCCAGATGAGGGATCAGTAAATACAGCGTGCCTGAAAGGCGGCCCTTGAGCACATTCCTCTGGTAGATATTAACTTATTAAATTGATTCTGATTACAAATACAAACTTTGCCCCCATCTCACCTGGTAACAATGCAAGAGTCGATGTCAGTCTATAAAAGGAAGTAGGCACTGTCCCTGGCTTTCAGGCTCCAACATCCTCCCTCTGTCAAGATGTGGCACCTCAAACTTTGTGCAGTCCTCATGATCTTCCTCTTGCTGTTGGGCCAGGTAAGGAGGGAAGGATACATATGTGTATGTGTGGAGTGTGGAGATGATAGTGGTGGTGGAACTTGAAAGCTAGACTCAGTCCTGAGGAATGGTTCCTCTGTTCTGAGTCTACAGCATCTGGGGAATGATCATTCTTCCAAGGTGTGCAGCAGGGTGTCAACACTTCCATATCTGAATGTCTTTGCCCTACAGATAGATGGCTCCCCAATACCAGAAGTGAGTTCAGCAAAGAGAAGGCCACGGAGAATGACCCCATTTTGGAGAGGGGTTTCCCTCAGGCCCATTGGAGCCTCCTGCCGGGATGATTCTGAGTGTATCACAAGGCTATGCAGGTACTCCACGAACCTGGGAGTAAGGTTGGGCCAGAGAGCCCTGTAAAGCTGGGCAGAGGAGTGACGAGGGGACACATGAACCTAAGAATAAAGCTGGGATGGAGGAGTTCTAGGCTGAGACTGGGAGCTCCATGGAAAATCCCTTAGGCATTAGGAGCCACGAACAGCTCCATGTGGGTACCATGAAAGAGTGGTGCCTTTCCATTCTTCAGTCTTTCCTGAACTAGATAGATCAAGTGAAGAGGAAGGAAATGCAGCATAGGTGGCCCTGGTCATTCCTAGACCCAATCTTAAACTATCCTTTCTTTTCCCCTAGAAAAAGACGCTGTTCCTTAAGTGTGGTCCAGGAATGATGTACATACCAGGGGAAGAAAGGACAGCAGTCACCTCTGACAATGCTCCGTTCTATGGAATATTGATTAGCTGCATTTTGGCTGGAGACACACAAGTGAAGCAATCTTGTATTTTTAATATTTAAAGGCAGATGTATGCTTTAAATTGGTCTCCATTTCTTCTTAGAATGTTGATATATGGATAAGTATAACTAAACTTGTCAATTTAGAGTTTATTTTTCTATGGATACTATTAAATGTCTCAAATTGAAATTTTAGCAGTTTGGAATTCAAGTTTTTGAGGGAAAGAAGGATTCACTTTGTATACTAAAGAAAAAAACAGCATTGCCCAATAATGTGTTAACTTCTCAATCTGGAAAGTGTGGTGAGAGCTACATAATCAACAGCTCCGTAATCAACTTCAGCAAGTTCTTAAGTTGTGGATCCCTTCATTCCATAACTCTTCAGGGAGGTGTCAAAGGTGGTCAAGCTTGGGAGGCTGAGGCAGGAGAATCACTTGAACCTGGGAGGCGGAGGCTGCAGTGAGCCGAGATCATGCCACTGCACTCCAGCCTGGGTGAGAGAGAGAGACTCTGTCTCAAAAAAAAAAAAAAAAAAAAAAAAAGGTCAGGCTTGGCACTTGCCATCTAATGAAGCACCCAGGTTTGTCTATGACTGCCTGAACATAAGGTAGAACAGAAAGAAAGATCTAGTTTAATAAAGCAATAAAAGCCCAAGCCACCAAAAGCACCAAAAGAGATTTATGTTGGGACAAGGTGAATTTTGACATATGCACAAGGACCCATGGCAGCAAGTTCAGAATTTCTGTAATCAGAAAATGAAACCTCAGCTGGCGGGAACAGACTTTTAAAGAGTAGTAATGGACCTTAAGACACAAAACAGGAATTGCATGAAAAGGGCTCAGTTGAAGAAATATAAAGAGCACAGTGTTCATTAACTTTAATACAGAAAATCTATTTGATATTTATTAAACTTAGTTTCTCCAGCTATGGTTTGGCATTGTACAAAGCATCTTAATGACACAGTAAAGTTAAAAAGATCTTTACAAATTGAAATGTGATACCCTTGTCTCCAAATATTTTAATTGCCATAAATTTGTTTAAAAATACACATTAAACGCATGTTTGACACTCTAAACTTTCTATACTCTCAATACCACAAAATACATATAATATACTATACAGATGTGGAAAAATCTAGTTAGTATATAATACTTTGCTCACCATTAACAGCTTTATCATGTGAAATGCACATACTGACTTAGAAATCCTAGCTTTTGAGCCCCTAAGTACCTCTGATATTTTAATGTATTGCAACAAATAAAAATCACAGTATATAATTGAAATTCTGGTTGAAAATGTCAGATGCCTAAATATTTTGGATAAAAGAAACGTAAAACAAAGATTTGGTTCATGTACAAAACAAAGGCATCCTATCAGTCACTAACAGTACCTTTCTGCAAAATCAACAGACTTTTAATTTATCAGTGACATTACCTCCCCTCCAAAACCCTCCCCAAATATCAAACAATTATTTACCAAATAATTTTAATTTCAAATAAAAGGATTTTCAATAAATATATAAGCATTTCCATCCTCCATATACAAAATTTCTTAAAACCATTCAAAACGGAGGCTAGATAGAAATTTTCATAACTGTGCTTACCAACCCCACAACTGGCCCTCAAAGGTGGTGCCTTTTCAGGCAATGTCAGCTGGCCAGTTCTGTTGGTGAGCCCCCCACCCCCCACCCCACCCATCCCAGTACTGTTGAATGCTCATGTTAATGATTTGCCAGGTGTGTGCATAAAGTTGTAAAATGGGGACACTTCTGGAACAGCAACAACAAACTCAACAATATGGAAAATCATGGCATTGATTTGAAAGGCAGCATTTCCAAATTGATATTTTCCAGAGAGGAACATACCAGGTAGAAAATTCCAATGGTTAAAAGCTGAAAAGAAATCCCACATGGAAGCAGTTAAGAGGTCAAAACTGAGTATTACTAGAATTTCTGGGTGGGAGCTTTTTTATTTTTAAGAATGGCAAGTTATGGTTAGCTGAGTAACAGCGGCAAGGAGGAGGTCAATGCTGACATTCCTGAAAGTCAACTTCTTTACATGATGACTACTTAGGCTGCTATTTTAGGATACTTAAAGATCTCTAACACTTGGATTAGACTTAACTTGAATACCTTATTCTGTGACTAAATTACATGAAAAGAAGATACATAGTTATTCTTTCCATTCCCTTTTCTGGAGACAGCAAGTTCTAATTAACCATAGGGTTCATGTGAATAGGAGCTTTATAAGACCAGCATCCACTTTACAAACTATTAACAATTTACTTTTTGTCACTTGCTAACTTGGTTTTGGGGTCTAGAGGTCTAAAGTGTATTTCTCCATTAGTGAGTATCTGAAAGACGTGCTCACAAACATGAAAAATTTGGCCTCTTATCGCTACATATTCCAAGGCATTCAATAATTATCTCTTCTATTAATTTTACTGAATAGCAACCTTAGCTGTGCAGTATTATTACTGGAAAAAAGCCTGCCTCTTCAATACATTAATGTATAAAGCTGAAATGAAATTTATGTTCCATGTATTAGGGGATATACAGGTATGATAGTTGTCTATATGGGTTTGAAATGCTCTGGCTCCCCAAGTTACTTAGGTTTTTTAAAAAACATCATCACAAGCTGCCTAACAGTCACCCCCAGTAGATGTTCCTGGGACCCAGACACAAACTCCTATAAATCAAAATATATAATGAGGCCATACTGTTCAATTAGCAACTGGAAAATTAAAATCTTTCCCACCCTGTAAGAGCCCTACGACACTACAGAAGGGCTCAAATACATTTTAAAAGTTAATTTACTACAAATCATAGTAATTAAGCTTTAACAATCTAAAGGAATACACATTGCACCCTTGAACATTAATATTCAAGGTGTCAACAAGAAAGTGTCTTAGATCAATTTAATAAATAATGTGGAAATAGTTGCACTAAGCTAAAATACTAAACACACACATTTTTGACAAACTAATTTCATGTTTTCATACATACATACATATATATAAAGTGTGTATGTGTACATAATTTTAAGATCCAAAGTTGCATACCTTTACACCTAGAAGAGTGCACAGTGTACCCCTCCTCTATATAACTAGGCATCACTGACTGGAACAATAATGGCTGCTCTGACACTCCACAGAGTACTGGCCTCCAGAGCCAGAACTTTCATTTGTAACAGGTGCCTTTTGTAGGCTCTTGCTTCAGAATGCAAGTTCATTCATGAAAAAATGTACCAACGTTTCTGTCGTTAAATACAAAATGATGCTGTCTGATCTGTCTGATTAAACCTTTAATGAAAAGAAACAAACAACAATTTTTAAAAAACTAGTGAATCTAATAAAGCCACAATTGTGTCATTCAAAGTACAGCCCAAGTGCCTATGAATCCGCCACTGTGAGAGCTCCCAGAAACACAGGTGACTGTGGGCTCACGCACACACTGCTCTCTATTGCTTTTACACTAGGGAATTAAATCAATGGTGGTCAACCTTCTCCACTCTTCGGCAGCTATAGCTGTTAAGTTTATCTGAATTACTCACTGTGTATAAAGTCACTTCTTGGCTACTTGCCCAGAAAAAGGTAGCACTGAGGCAAGGAATGGGCTGGATGCTCTCTAGCCAGACTGGAGCCTGGGCTGAGCTGTGGAAACTCCCCTGAAGGGGAATGCTCCCCACAGCCCAGCCCAGTCCAGCCCAGGCAAGACTACTGTGACGACTGCATCCACTGCAATTGGTTCATTGGTTGCTTGTAAAGAGTCTAATGGTGTATAGGCTGCTGCCTCCTGGCATGCAAGTATAGTCATAAAGAGCAGTCAACAGAGTAACTGTTAAAATTGTTGTTTCTATAATTAACCATATATTCAGTACAAGTCTCAGACTAAGTTTTTAGCCACTTGTCAAATTCAGTTTTAAATGGTTAGAAAACACTGAGGACACCTATTGAGGAGGGAGGGAGGAAGGTCACCTGTAAAGGAGTCCAAAGTATGTGCTGGAGCAGATGATGACAAAGACAGAACATCTAAGAAGACAGATGTGAAGGAAAGGGAGTAGTATTTCCATACACTATGACATTGAAAATTCAATCATTTACGATAGGATTTTGATCCACTGCCCATTACTACCTTGTGGGAAAAACCCTCCACAATGAAAAGGTTGAAAAATTCATTCTCCAAAAATTGACACAGTTTTAAAGAGAAAATATTAGAGCAGCACCATAAACCATGCAGGAAACTCTGCTTTAACAAAATATCAGTGTGACCCCAGAAATGCTCCTGCTGCCTTTCAGGACATACAAGAGACTAGAACACACTAGAACGTAGAGGTATCCCATTGGCTGTTGTTGCTGAAAGTCTGAAAGCCCAGAGGATATTCTTTCCATTTCTAAGACATCACTGCAAATTAAGGAATCTGAGTCAGAGAAATCAGAGAATGACAAGACATACATGTACTTGATTAACAACCATTATTTCTTACTAAATAACTATCATGATCATTGAGAAGTTGTCCTCTTATGGAAAACTGTTCCTAGAACACACTAAGATTAAGTTAGAAAGATATCAGAGGCAATTTCTCCAAGGGAAACTGGTTAAATTCAACATAATTTGTACATCTCAATCTTCAATGATATCTAAAAACAATCTGAAGTACAAAACAGTTAAGAAGCTCTATAAATATGAGGCCACAAGGACAATGTTCACTAACTTCAGAAATAAGTGTAAAAAAGACTCAAACACAAAGGATTCACTGCACTACTGGACTTGAAACTTTTCTATGCCTTCGTTCCCCTTTCCTATTTCAAGCCTTATCAATCATCTACAAATAGTAGTATAATCTTTTTTTCTGACTGGATGGATTCATTTCTGGAATGGGGAGAGGGACAAACTATTTTTCAAAGCAGCATTACCCAATTGGTTAGACTAAGTCATGTACCAAAGCAATAGCTTTTCTGAAAGAACTAATCTTTATATGACCCTAAAGAAAGATTTAAAATGAAAGAGAATTTAACATTATTATTGTAGAAGACCAATCATGTATGGACGATCTGGTCCTAGTGTAAAACTTCAATTGTAAACAATCCATAGAGTCTTCATTTAAAGGTAAGATTTAAGGCACACCAAACATGATAGGGGCATGAAAAATAAAGTATAGAGGGTACATTTCTTACCTTAGACTTCTATATGCACCTTGCAGCAAAAGGTACTTTGATATACAACTCTTACAGAGCCAGCTTCTTAAGCTCTACCCTTGGCTCCCCTCCCTGTCCCAAGAGCTCACACTGAATCAAGTTAGGTACACTTTTCTAGTGTGAAATTTTCTGATTCCATCAGAAACACACATCATTGAAGAGGGCCTTCATAATACAAAAGCAGTAAACACAAGATAGGTTTAAAAAGGAGAAATTCATCATCTCTACATCAGGCATTAGAACTGTTAAGTTGTATAGCAAAAGCACACACCAAAGCTCCAGCCTGTTTCTGTATCAGTCACTGCATGCTCATATCAGAGCATCACAATCCAGTATGAGGGGGAAAAAATCTGAAAAATAACTCTAACCGTCAAAGATAATCAATTAAAGACACATAGGCAGCAATCCTCAGGAGTTGGATCATCCATTTTTCCACAGTAACCTATTCTGTTTCGATTAAGCGTCAAATGATTAGCAACAAAAAATAACATATGGTTTTAATAAAATCCGTAACGTTCAGGATTGTCCTTTTATGAAACCCTTCAACACAAAATGCTTCTTCTAGAAAGTTTGCCCTCCCTCTTTTGTAATGCATTAAATGCAAGTTATAGTCACCGTGTGATTGCTGTAGTGTTATTAACACACATTCACAGTTTTTGAAATAATGCATACCAAATCAGACACATTTCATAGTACATACATGTAGAATGCCATTTTCTCATATTTAAGTGATTTTTTCATGTGTAGAAGAATATCCTTAATACTAACTGTAAATTCCACAATAATAAAATTGGAGTTAAGATTTCAAATATCAGATCAGGTAGTAGGTGTAGAAAGAATATGTCCTTATTTTAGATGAACCAATTCTTACTCTTAGAACAGCTACCACAAAAAGGTATTAGGTAATAAAGCTCCCGAAGTATATAAATAAAAATGTCTACATTAAATTTATGCTAAATATTCAACAGAGTAAATTTATAGGGAGAAATAACTAAGTCTTAAACTAGCCCCAATCTGGGAACTTAAAAAAATTAAAATAAATAAAATTTCAATTCATTAGTTATGAATTGCAACTGGAATTTCAATCTTATCATAGCTCATGGAAACCATCTTATCAATGTGCTGCAGAATTAAAAGCATTTAAATAACTGTTCACATTGGAAATATTAAAGGGGCCAACTGACAGGATGGCTTTGGGTTATCAAAACAACAACACATGAACCAACAAGGAGAAAACTATTCCTCATTCTTAGTGTCGACTAGGTGGTATGTTATGGCAGTTTTCCTTCGTGATGTGACACAGTGTTGTGGAGAAAATCAGAGGCAACGAGAATGTGTTCAGTTCAAGATACCAACTTGGCATCCTGGCGAAGCCAGTGCAGTCCCTGCCGGGTATAACGAACTAGATCTGTCATGATGCTTGCATTAAAGATGAGAGGGCCCATTACTTTATCCAGTTCAGCAAAGAATTCTAGAAAACCAAAAATATTCATTAAATGATATATACTGTTTTGAATCACTGCTTTAAAATTATGAGATTATAAAACAGCATTCATAAACTCAAAAAAATACCTCCTCCTACACTAAAATGCTTACTGTCCATGTTTTAGAGCAAATCATTCCACAGTCTCTCAAGTTATATTTGTTCCCTAAGTCATGCAACATTTTAAACAGAATGTATGGTCAGAAATTAAGTGTTATGTATAAGCAGGATTCCATGAATGGAAATGATAAATTGCTATTATGTAGTAAATATTATTAAAATGAAGACTTAGTGCCATAATGTGCTACTGATTACTCAAAACATTTTGTGCTTTTGTATAAGCAGCAAGTGATACAAAAAGGAGGATGTTTTTTGCGGGTTTCCTGTAACAGCCTCTGTGAGGTTAGATACTTAAGATTATATCAAACTTTCAGCTACAATCATATGCCATGAACCAACTGATAACTAAATCTCATGTTTTTATTTTCATTTATTTTTAGACAGAGTCTCCCTGTCGCCCAGGCTGGAGTGCAGTGGTATGATCTTGGCTCACTGCAACCCCTGTCTCCTGGGTTCAATCAATTCTCCTGCCTCTGCCAAATACAAAATACAAAAAAGGTTTTCTTTTTGTGTGTGTGTTTTTTTTTTAAAGTAGAGACGGGGTTTCACCATGTTGGCCAGGCTGGTCTCGAACTCCTGACCTGTGGTGATCCACTCGCCTTGGCTTCCCAAAGTGCTGGGATTACAAGGTGTGAGCCACCATGCCCAGCCAAAAATTATGTTTTTATAAATACAGTTTTATGTTGAATGTTGGGATTCCTAGCCTGCGCAATGTAATAAGACCTTATCTCTACAAAAAGTAGAAAAATTAGCTGGGTGTGGTGGCACGCATCTGTAGTCCCAGCTACTCAGGAGGCTGAGGCAGGAGGAT